TAAAGAGCAGCCTCCAGCTCTGCACTAGAACAGGAAAGGTTCCCTAAGGGCAAGACTTCACCTAGCTAAGGCTCCATCTTATGAGTCTACATGGTTTCTTACTCCTAGAAAGCAAATACCTGGAGAAGTTTTTTCCACTGGATTCAGCATACAGAAGCTATTGTAACTGGTCCAAGGAGGCCAGGGTCCATCCTGAGCTGAGAGCAGAATTTGACAGGCTTATTCTAGTGATGCAAGTTTTGGAGGCCTGAATGGTGCAAGATTAAGGGTGTTATGGATTTTTGCTCCATGCTTTCAGGGAGTCAATGAGGCCAGGCAATGTGTGGCATGGTAGGAGTCTCTGTGAGAAGGTCCAGAGACCATTGCGTGAAGCTGTGAAGGTAAAGTCTGAGTTGCAGTGGAGACCCCAAGATGTTGTTGTGCAGGTCTTTTGTAGGCAACCACAGCCACAGTGAGTTCATGAGGACAGTGTCCAGAATACCCTGCTTCCCAGAAGTCTACTCTGACATCTGGCTTTTACAGTATTCCAGCTCCTTCCTCCACAATGTTCCCTGAGCCTTGGAAGAGGGGCGTGGTAAAGATATCCCATTTAGGGCTGAGCACTCCGCAATCACTAACGCTCTGCACTTTGGTCTGTTGGGAATCTGTGGAATTCCTTTCTTGTGGGGTCTGGGTTTAAGTTCATTCCAGCCCCCTACTAACAACTAAAAGCCCAGGTATATTCTAGAGACAAACTTGACTGATACAAAATGTCTGTCATTGCCATTCACAATGTTGTATCTTGCTATGGTCTTTCTAATAAACCTGCAATCACTAACGCTCTGCACTTTGGTCTGTTGGGAATCTGTGGAATTCCTTTCTTGTGGGGTCTGGGTTTAAGTTCATTCCAGCCCCCTACTAACAACTAAAAGCCCAGGTATATTCTAGAGACAAACTTGACTGATACAAAATGTCTGTCATTGCCATTCACAATGTTGTATCTTGCTATGGTCTTTCTAATAAACCTCTTGGACTCTTTTTTTAAAAAAAAAAAAAAAAAACTAGGCTTGAGGTTGAGTGTAATGACTCACACCTTTAATCCCAACACTCAGGAGGCAGGCAGGTGACTTTTCAGTGAATGTAAAGCCAGCTTGGTCTATATAGTAAGTTCCAGGCCAGCCTAGTCTATATAGTGAGTTTTAGGCTACCTAGGACTACATAGTGAGACCTTGTCTAAAAAAAATTGAAAATAAATAAATATTCTTGGAGAGACACACCTATAATTTAGAACTTAGGAGGCAGAGGCAGGAGGATCAGGAGTTTAAGGTCATCCTCCCCATAAACTCAATTTGAGGCCAGCCTGTGCTGTATGAGACCTTGTCTCAAATACCCTGTGCCTTTATCAGAAAGAAAGAAAGAAAGAAAGAAAGAAAGAAAGAAAGAAAGAGAGGGGGGAGAGAGGGAGGGGGAGAAAGAAAGAAAAGAAAGAAAGAAAGAAAGAAAGAAAGAAAGAAAGAAAGAAAGAAAAAGAAAGTAAAAGAAAAGAGAAAATGAGGCAATCTAGGCACAGTAGCACATAATCCCAACACTCATGGGTTTGAGACAGGAGGCTTATGAGTTCAAGGCCAGACATCCTGGGTCAAAGACGTAACTCAGTGGCAGATTGCTTCCTTACCATGCCCAAGGCCCCAGTTTTCATCCCTAACATTCAAGGGAAAAGAGTAAGAAACATAAGAGTTTCTGATACAGTTCAGTCATTGAATGCATACTTAACATGCATGGCAGCCTGGATTCAATCCCTAGTACACACATGGGGGGGGCAGATATTAAGACAAAACAAAAAAGAACAAGCAAAGATGGTGGATATGCACATACTTGATAAAAAGTGTATAGAGAAGAAAAGAACAATTAACTGAAAATGAGGACGATGTTTACCTCTGGATGGGAAAGACAAGTATCAGCACAGACATGGGGGGTGGCACAGGAGCCTCTTAAGGCATTGCAGAGGCTTGGTTTCTTGACTTTAGTGTTCAGTCCATAGGTGCTTTATTATTGTTGATGATGTTGTTCTTTAAACTATTTCATTAATTCCTTTTATGCTGCTATCATAAAATAGCATGACCAGAAACAAGGAAGAAAGTCTATTTTGGCTATGGTTTCAAAGCATCAGAGCTCATCGTGGTGGAGAAGGCAAGACAGCAAGCTGCAAGAGCAGGACACAGGCTATTCACATCCACACACAGGGAACTGTGAGAGTCAACTGGAAGAGGGGTGAAGCTGTAAACCCTCAAATCCTACACACAGTGACATACTTCCTCCAGCAAGACTCTGACACCTAAAGGTTACATAACCTCCCCAAACAGTGCCACAAATGGATCAACTGTTCAAATATGTGGGCCTATGGGGGTATTTCTCATTCAAACCATAACAACCATAAACGTAAATGCTTTAGGTTCTCAGCTAAAGGCATGTTTGTTTGTAACTGAAAACAAAACAAGAAAAGGGCAAGACTAAAAAGTCACATAAAAACTGAGTTGATAGATTCTAGAACAAGTTAGAAATAAAACTAGATTGAACCCTAAGTTATCTCTTGAGAATTAAGAAGCCCCCCTCTGTTCTCAATAATTTACTATCTATTAAATCCAAATAAAAAGAAAAGAAGGGAATCATTGCTGTCAAACATCTTCAAACCTAAAAATTAGGTGTGAATATTCTTATTTAAGTATATATTTACTAAGGTTAAGACCGGGTCTCACTAGATAGCCCTGGCTGGTCTCAAACACAGGAGTCTAAGAGGAAGGGTATTAATAGGAGTGAGATGGGGATAAGAGAGGATTGCCAGAGACAGGTGGTGGTCAAAATATACTATGTGTATGTAGGAAAGTGTCATAATGAAGTCCATTACTATTTGTAATTAATATATGCCAATAAATTATTTTTTAAATATTTTATTTATTATTTTTATGTGTATGCATGTATTGCCTGCATGTAGGTAAGTGCACCTGTGTCGTGCAATGCCCACAGAAGACAGAAGAGGCTGTCAGAACCCCTGGAACTGGAGTTACAGAGAGTTCTTAGCTGCCATGTGGGTGCTGGGATTCAAACCCCAGTCTTCTGCAAGAACAGTCAGTGTTCTTAACCGCTGAGCCATCTCTCCAGCCCTGCCAATAAATTTAAAAGAATATTTTTTTAAGATTTGTCAATAATGGGCCAGGCGTGGTGGCACGCGCCTTTAATCCCAGCACTTGGGAGGCAGAGGCAGGCGGATCTTTGTGAGTTCGAGGCCAGCCTGGTCTACATAGTGAGTTCCAGGACAGCTGGAGCTACAGGGAGACCCTGTCTCAAAAAGACAAAAAAAAAAAAGAAAAAAAAAAGAATTTGTCAATAGCACCTTTCTAGCTCAAAAAGTAGTTAATTAAAACCTTAATCTTTTAAAAGTTGAATTACACTTAAATTATTCTACTGCCAAACTACTTTGTTACAAT